CCCCCCCCGTAAAGTTGTAAAGCAGCCACTCAGATACTGATGATTAAAAAGCGTTTGATAAAAACGCACTTTTTCTGGCGGTATAGAGTTTCCTTTCAGCTGTTTGTGATTCAGCTGACCCATCCGCGGTTAGGAGCTCCTGGATGTCCTAACATGAGAACCGCTTTAACATTTCGCCTCTGAGGTTCACAGAGACGCGAGTCATGACGAGTGTTTAAAAGGTTCCGCTTCTCCCTCCTGACGTGATTTTACCAGATCATCGTCACATGCTGACGTGATGAGTTCAGGTTCTTGTGATAAAAGCGAAAACGAAGAAGAGCTCACCTCTGTGCAGCCTCCCTCTGCCTGTCCATGTCGCCTTGTTGTTTCAGGTCTGTGGAGGGTCCCAGTCAGTCAGTGCTGGTTTTAATCCGAACCCCCACCCACACCCACAAACCCCCACTTCTAAACACTAACAAAGGCTCTGGGAGCTGCTCAGTGAGGCGTAGAGGGGCCCCGCTTCACGCTTAAAGGGCCAACAACTTAACCTGGGAAGCCCTGCGGCAGCGTCCATCTGCACTCGCTTACATCCTCGTTCACACTCGCAGAACTTCACCCAGGGCCGATGGAGCAGGAGCCAATCACCTGTGTTTACCTGCAGACGCAGTGTTTGATTGTAGCTCCCACCTGCCTAAGCTCTGACGTCATCACCCGCAAGTCTGAATGACGATGACATTAAAACAGCAGCAGGTGATTTTCTGCATCTTCAAAGTGACAGTGCTGCCCCCTGCTGCCGCTACGTGGAACCGCGTTTGCCCCCAGCACCACCGGCCCTCCCCCTCATTACCCTCACAGGGGTGGCCTGTTGTGTCCCCAGCTAGCTGACCCCCTAGCAGCAGGTATGTCTACATTAAAACACTTTATACTTTTTCTTCCTCGACTAATCTGCATAATAAAGATATCGTACTCCATATGTTTAATGTTAAAGCTTACTTTGAAATAAAATGTATTTTAAACACTTTGTACTGTAGTAAAATTATACTTCTTTCACTGCATTGTACAAAAAGAAGCTTAAAGTCTTGTGCAGCCACTTTTCATATTCTACATCTAATGCTCTATCTACATATGTCAGCCACACATATGCATGCTTATAAAGATGTGAAAAAGAAACAGCAAGTAAAACAGCAGCAGGATGCAAATAGAGTTTGACTTATGGAGGTCTGAAATATAAATAAACTGTCACTGTGTGTGTGTGTGTGTGTGTGTGTGTGTGTGTG